CCTGCTGCACAGGAGGAGAAAGAGCTCACCGTGAGATTTCTATGTAATATGGTATATAAGTTTTACTTTTGATCCATTACTTTATCATTTTATTTTCTGATTTTTATTATATAATACATATTTCCCACACTTTGCCAAAATTTTAGAGGTTTTCTCAATTTGATAGGTAAAAATAATATATATATATATATATATATATATATATATATTAGGAGCTAAATTGTGTTCCCTCCAAAATATGTTGAGGTTCTAACCCCTGGTACCTGCAAATGTGACCTAACATGGAAATAGGATGTTTGCAAGTAAGTATAATCAAGTGAAGATGAGTTAATTACAGGGATCCCTTATCCAGTATAAAAGGGTGTTCTTTTAAGAAGAAGGCTGTTTAGCACACAAGTGTGTACACACACCCACAGACACGAGGAAAATACAATGGGATGACAGTAGGGGCTGCAGTGCAGCTGCCAGCCAAGGGGGACCAAGCATCCTCAGCCATCATCAGAGGTCAGGAACAGATCCAGAGAGTTCTGCACAGCTTTAGAGGAGCGTGACCCTGCTGACACTTGGATTATGCATCTCTTGGCTCCAGAACTGTAGGACAGTAAATTTCTGTTATTCTAAGGTAATAGTTTATAGAAATTCATTGTAGCCATCCTAAGACTCTAATCCAGAGGCTTCCATTGTCTGCAATTCTCATTTCCTAGGTTTTAGTTCTCAAGGTCAACTTCAGTCTGAAAAGTTCTCAAGGTCAACTTCAGTCTGAAATTATTGAATGGTAAATCCAGAAATAAACCTTCCAGAAGTGTTTAACTGTGATCCATTATGAGCATCATGATGGAATCTTGAGCTGTCCTTCTCCCCTGTCCAAGATATGGATTATCCCTTGTGCAGCATGTCCTCGCTGCAAATTCTACTCTCCTTTTCATCACTTGACAGCTGTCTCAGTAATCAGAACCACTGTTGTGGTGTCTCTGTGCTGGTGTTCAAGTAACCCTTATTTTATTTAATAATGGGCCCAAAGCCTGAGAGTAGTGATGCTGGAAATTTGAATATGTCAAAGAGTTGCTGTAAAGTATCTTTCAGGGAGAAAGCAAAAGTTCTTGACTTAAGAAGAAAAGAGAAAAATCATTCTTTGAAGTTGCTTTTATAACTGAGTTCAGTTTATGGGCTGTGAAACTTGTATCCACTACACTAAAATTTTGGGGTTGAAGCAATGACCCAATAGTCCTGTAAAAGTCAGACCTTTCTCTTTGAAATTCAGCACATTTCACAAGTTCCCATTTACTCACCATTTGGATGTTAGATTTATGAGGATGCCTGAACAAATTAAATAATTTTGTTTATGGCATCAAGACAAGCAGGAGCTGGGGTGCTGGCCCTGTGGTCTCCTTGCTGAGATTGAAAGAATGACCAATAGGAAGCATAGGTGGGAAAATGGCCACCAGATTCCTGTCATCTCAATTGCCTGAAAAGGGGCTTCTGTCTGCTTTATTGGGAGCAACTGCTTAGTGGTAGCCAAGCTTGCTTTTTAAATTTGACTCTATGGATTTTTTTTTCATTCAACCTAAAAATGGATTTCAATACAAATGTTCTAGTAGACCAAGATCTATTTTAACACTACTCCCCCAACATTCTACCAAGCAAAGGTAAAAATAATAGGAAATGTGTATGACCCATGATTCCTTAGACTCAGTGTAATACCCTTTGGACTGATTCATATAACAAAATTCTGAAACATTGAAGTAGTAACCCTAGTACAGCTGTAGAGGAGCAAGTGTTATGTGTATACAGGGGAAAGTTATTCTAAAAGGGATGTTAATTTACGAGGAAGCCAAGTAAGTTGTGTGCTTGGTACTGAATTGACTTGTTCAATCACTAACACTCCTTCTTTGATATTTCTTCTCTAAAAACACCACAAAAGTCATGATATCTGGGTATTCTTCCTGTTTGTATTTGTTCAACTGAATGAAATGCAATTAGAGTTGAGCTGATGAAACATTCACAAGAAGAACTAGGGCAAACTAAAGGCAATCATTCATATTTACATATTAAAACTTTTTTGTTAACACCAAATCTTTACACTAGATCTAGTAAAAGAAATAATGCATTTTAATAAAGCAGATGTTACTAAAGCAGTATCCATTTTTGGAGCCTTTGTTTGTTAGCACCTGAGGGAAAAAAAGGGTATATAGAAAGCTATGTAATTTACCTCAAGTTAATTTGTTGGTCTATATAGACTACAACTTAAGATATACAGTGAAAGTTAAAACTGAACTGGAAAAATAAACATTTGTAGGTGTTTTTAAGAGATCTATTTTTATATCAATGTGCCTTGCATGTATATTAAAAAAATTTTGGAAAAACCATGTAGTAATGCCTGAGTTAGTTGATGGTTCTTAACCACCTCACTAATTTTTATGCAGTATGAAATGCTCATTCTATTGCCCAACTGGTGCTCTCTGTTAAAAGTTATAGATCTTGTCAAACTGGAACTATTTTATAAACTGGGGAAGTGATTTTCTTTTTTTCTTTTTTTTTTAAATTTTAAGTCTGTTAGTGGCTATTCTGTAGCGGGAAATAGTAAAAGGATTCTTCACTTCCTTTCCTGCCCCTTTAGCACCTTCTTTAAGTAATGTGATGACACCATTTCTTGTGTGCTTTGAAAAAAGTTTGAGCTTGCTGTCTCCTTTAGTGTTATAAAAAGTGTTGTTAAGCATTGTTTGCAAAGTATAGGGAGATAATGGAGTCCAGGTTAATTGGGAATTCTGTGTGAGCTTTAATCCAAGTTATTGGCTCTTTCCAACTTAAATTTTTTTTTATTGTTAAAGCACCTTGCTTAGAAAATTTTAAATATTTATGTCTGCAACAATTGTCTCAAAATGATAAACTGTGCAATTCTTGTCATTAAAAACAAAAAGATCTGAACTGAACTCTCCCTAATGTGACTTGTTAGTTTCTCTGTATTTCCTGCCAGTGTAAATGTGAAACGCTTTGCTTGCATTACGTTTTAGAAATGCATTTTGCACACTTGAATTTTGCTGAAGCTCCGTGAAAAGGTTAGATCTAAGTAGATGAATAAAGCTATGCACATGTTTTGAAAGTTTAATTTGTGTGTCATTACCAAAAGTGACCTGTCCTTATTATTATGTTGCTGTTCTTAGTTTTACCACCTTTGGAAACATGGCTCAAAGTTACTACACTTCTGAGCTAGCTTATGAGTGGGACTAGAAGAGAGGAAAATTAATTGGCACCTGTATTAATAAAGTTAAGTTTAAACAAGAGCTTGACTTGTATTATTAAAGGGCTTTTCTTGAAACAGGGCAGTTTTATCCCCTTATAAATCATTGGATGCTTTCTCACTGAATATTGGGTTGTTTCATGGAAAAGAAATGGGAAGTAATTCAAACTGAAATGAAGTAAGAACCTTTGCCACATGGAGCTCTGACAATTTATGGTTTAAAGCTGGCTTAAAGGTAGGATAGCCTAAATAGCTTTATTGCTTTAGCATAAATTTGGTTTACTAAATGATTGGTTTGAAATTAGTTTCACTCAGTTACTTAAAGCACAGATTGTTTTAAAGGTAATGTGTATCTTTATAAAAAATATTCATGCTGATTAGAATAAGTTTAGAAGTCAGGCACATTTGATTCAGTCGCTACAGTTTGCATGTACTAAATAGCTTTACTTCACATGTATGTGTATAAATAAGGTTGTATAGATGTACTGGCCAGGTCTTGTCAAATCATCTTTTAAAATTGTCTTTAATTTCTTCAGAACCTTTGTAGGAAAGGTTAATAAATAAATTTAAATAGAAGGTGTTACTAATGGTATTTTCCTTATGCTCCTAGACAAAGAAATATTTCCATTTTATAGCTTTTCCCGTGTATTGAAGAGGGTTAATTCTGTATCCTCAAGTATGTATGTTGAGTTTGAAAACACAAACCTCCTTCCTTGTATCTTCATTGATAGTAGCAATTAACTACTAACTACTAGTCAAAACTTGAAAGGTGGCCCATAATGCATGGCCTCAAAGGCAAAAAATGCAGGAGGTGTAGCAGGCATCCTTGTAAATGGCTTTGGCTACTCTTCAGCATTTGTCAGTCCACTTGTATTCAGTCTTAGAACATTGGAGGAGCAAAGTAATTTCTGTCTTGTGTGCATAGGTATTTAGGAGCTGAATTCTTGATTTGGGGGAGAAGATAATTAGTAGATTACAGTTGTTAGAAGACATTCCCCCCCCCCTTTCAAAACATTTTTTAATGTTTTGCCCAGAAAAAAAGATACTTTCTAGATTTAAGAACAGTGACCAGAAATTTACCCTTTGCTGAATGCTTTAGGTATTTGCTATAGCAGTTTCTGATGTCATGGATTCTGAGGAAGTGTCAGTAACATGATAATCTTCCTTTATTGATGTCTTACTTAATGTTCAGTGTTTTAAAAATATACATTACAAACACTTTACAACCATACTCAGATTTACTTATTTTATCAGAAAAAAAAACCTTGAGATTTGTAGAATCAAATTAAGAGATAATAAGTGTACATTGTTGAATAAAAAATTTTAAAGTTTCTGGGGTGTTTGTGTTATCTTTTGTGTGCTCTAACTTAAAAAAAAAAAAGCCTATTGAAAACTTAAGATACTGACATTGATAATGTCCCCTCACTCCGTATCAAATGTGCAAAGAATTTAAATCTTGTACTATGCTCATGTCTTTTTAAAAAAATTTTTTTTAGATGTTGATGGACCTTTATTTTGTTCATTTATTTATGTGCGGTGCTGAGAATTGAACACAGTGCCTCACACATGCTATGCAAGCGCTCTACCACTGAGCCACAACTCCAACTCCATTTTTTTAATCATACAGGTTATTATAGTGCTTAGAATTAGCATGTTTATTAAAATCAGCTGAGAGCGCAGCTGTCTTAACATTTTTGAGGACATTGAGCCTTATGCTCTACAACTAAAATAAATTGAACTAAGCAATTAAGCAACTAGAATGTTAAGCTGCCAAGATTCTGAATTTATTCATAACTTTCTGTAGAAATGTATGGCAGTACACATTTTGAGACATTACCATTTTTAGCACCAATTTGTCACAAATTGGGGAAAAAATCAATGCTAAAGTCAACAATATTAGAAAATAATGGAGTGAAAAATGCATAAACTAGTCACTATAGATGCTTAGCATTTTGGTCAAATGCTTTATTCTTTGGGATCCAAAAATAATTGTCTTTAGCCTTTTTAAGTGATTTGCAAGGACCCAAAGAGGAACTTGGGTTTTATTGAGGCTGTTAAAATTTTCAGCCACTTAGTGTGGTTTGCGCAAAGCATGGTAGTTAATTCAGTACAATTTTTTTGTTTCTTGTTTTTAAATGACATTTATTGTGGATTTCAGCATCTAACATTTGGAAGCAATGTTTGAGCAGAACATAAAACTCATTCTAGAGTGCTTAGCAAGGTCTTAATGCTTGAGGAATTCTTGGAGCTCTTAATCCACTACTGTTGGATACGTCGAATCGATTGGATTTGGGATGTCTGGGCATGAGAACCCCACTCTCTCCAGTGTTTATAGTCTCCTCCGTGGTGGTCACATTCCAAGATATACTGATAACCACGATATCCAGGATACTGGTAGCAAACCCAGCTACAAAATTCCAAAGTATATGGTATTATTAAAACTAGTTAGGAACCTGAAACACCCCAAAACTTAAGACTTCTCAGCAGAATGGTACAGAATGCTTTTAGGCTTGGAGAAAACAGTAGTCATAGAGGAATGCCCAGGGGAGAAAAATCTAAAGGTAGTTGATAAAAAGAACTTGAGATTCAAATTAATAACTAGAACATGACCCCTGTGCCAATATTATGCCAATGCATGAAACCTGATAAAACATTACCATTGATGTATTAATGTTTGCAAGGCTTTCACCTGCAGGATTTACATACTCCAACCCTGTTTTTGCACTTACGCCCCACTTTGTATCTTCATGGAACCAACTTCGTTGTTGAACCAACCCATGGCTTGCAAGGAGGGGTAGTCATCACAGATTTCCCACTGTCGTCCAATAAAGTTCTCTTTCTCAAAAATGGTAATCTTAGACTCCTTGTGATTCTGTTGCCCAGAAATTAAAAACTTTTAGTACCTAGTGTAAATGGGTGTCATCTTGATTCTTTAATTGCCATATTTTTTTTTCAAATTGAAACACTTTCTGGTTTACAAAGAAGTACATGATATCTGACCCAAAAGAGGTTTGTAAAAAATCACCCATAATCCTGTTTAATGTACAAATAACCAATACTTGGCTACAATGAAAAAACCAGTGAAGAGGATTCAATACAGCAGAGGGGAAAAAACCCCAGCCAACCAAGGGATTAATACCTGTGATGTGGAAATTCCCCAACATGTATGTGCAGGTATGTGTGTTTGAAATAGCATGTTCAATAGGGGACAAATACAATACAAACATTTAAAAGGTAGAGAAGAAGCTCGGTGCAGTGGTGCATGGCTGTAATCCCAGTGGCTCTCATGGCTGAGGCAGGAGAATCACAAGTTCAAAGCCAGCCTCTGCAAAAAGCAAGGCACTAAACAACTCAGTGAGACCCTAGTCTCTAAATAAAATACAAAATAGGGCTGGGAATGTGGCTCAGTGGTCAAATGCCCCTGAGTTCAATCCCTGGTACCCTCTTCACAACCCACCCCCAAAAAAGGGCAGAGAAGAACCTGTATGAATTTTAAAACAAAGTAACCCAGGTAGCCAGGTGTGGTGACACATGCCTGTAATCCCAGTGGCTTGGAAGGCTGAGGCAGGAGGATTGCAAGTTCAAAGCCAGCCTCAGAAATTTAGTGACACTGTTTCAAAAATTTTTAAAAAGGCTGTGAATGTGGCTCAGTAGTAAAGCAGCCTGGGTTCAAT